ACTAAAAATAATATATATATATATATATATACACACACATCATAACTGAATTAAATATTAAATAAATTAAATGCGTACCCGCCTCCAATGATAGATATACATTACATCCATTAATGAGTAACTACTGCATAGTGGCTCCTCTTCATACATTATATCGACTCTATTTACATCACCAAGGCCATATTTGGCTCTTATTAGTTTTTGTAAATGGAATATTGTAACTGCTGCAGGACATCGAAAATATCGCCTTAAAATGGGTTTTTCAGTATCTGTCTCACTTAAATCTTTTGTACAAGGATTAGAATATTCCAAAGACAAACTGAGGGATTCATCCGGAGAATATATGTGCGATTCTATAGGTTCTCCACGAGATTCTGGAGAAACTGTTTCAATACATTCGTCTGGATGCTTTGCATAAAATTCTTTTCGACATCGCATTTCATCTGAAACCAATGTTTTTATCATCATTACCATCTTAAACATAATATAATAAAGCAATCAAATCTTTTTCTATTAAAGAAAAAACATACTTTGATAACATCCAGGTACCAGTTTATAAACAATATCCTGTAATGTATAGTCAGGACGTATATTTAATAGTGGCCTACTTTTGTGAACCTGTACTTCACAGATTGGACAATATTTGTTACTCTCCAAATATTTAACAATGCAACTTTTGCAAACTGTAAAAAAAACATTAAAAATTTTATAATATATTTAGCTACTGGCTAAAGTTTAAATATACAGCATTATGCGATACAGTAGAAAGATACTGTACACGAGTGTAAACATTCTATAATGGTAGTCGCATCGATAAAATATCCACCACATAATTTGCATGTCAATTGTTCATTAAGTTTGGCCAAACACACTCGTTGTCCACCACTCTGCCCTGACATTCTACAACACAAAAATATATTATCCAATATATCATCTTTGTATAAGTAAAATTAACAAAATTTAACAAAAATATACCATCAATCATAATATGGATAATGTAATTTGATCATTAATTACATCAATATAATAATATACAATATTTATCTATGGAATATTTACATAAGTATTTATTTATTATCAAAAAAAATGTAAAAATTAAAGTATCAATAATTCTGAATATTGTAATAAGATGTAAACAATATTTTTTTAAATAGTCTATAAATAACTTTTTAACATAATATTTAATTCTTATAAGTTATTTAGTTTATAGTATAAAATTATTTTAATCAAAACAGCGAGTCAATAGCTGAGACTCACAAGAATTAAAATGTTGAAAAATTAAATCTAATATTATATAAAAATTATTTCTAATAAATTTAATCTAATCTAATAATAATTTCTTTTACTTTACACAAAAATGTACAGAGCTGTGTTTAGAAACATTATCCTACATATTACTTGATTAATATTTGGTGTTCAATATTCAGTAAATAAGACTAAAATAATATATGAAAGCATTCAAAAATGTCTTTTATTTGATATTTCACAAATATCATTTGGTTTTGTTTAACATTTGATAAACAATCATTTCACGAGTGTCACCAGTGCAAAATGGAACGCAGCTTAAGTGGTATTTCTGAACATAACCCAGTATATGGTAAAATATGTTTCTTTAAGGATAAATTTACTTGAATGCATGTTATATAAGTTTTTTTTTTTGCATTTATCTAATCTATTAGAACAAAATTGTGTTGAAGTACTTTGGTATACAAGGTTACTCAAATATATTTTTTAAGTAATATACATAAATGAATAAATCTATTCTATTGTATACAAGTATGTGATTTGTGTTTACTAACAAATTAACAGATGAATAAATTAATACTATAACTTTATCATATAAAATACACCCAGCCGATATACATATAATTCATATTATTAATATAACCAAACCAAAGGACTGTATAACAGCTGCTAAATACAAACGATAAAATTGATTGGAGCAAACGCGAAGGATATACAATACAATTAATAAAATTAACGGATTTATTGATAACCGTTTCTTTCCAAAGGGAACGGTAATTGAATAACGGTTCAGAAAATTGAAAAAACATTCGTAGAGTTATGTGATATATGGATCGATCTCTCAAACACACTTGATGTTTTATGAGCGTCAAACGAAAAGAAGATATTAATTACTTGGTGTCACTCGGTACATACATGCCGCAAATGTCCTGGACAGACTTACGTGACGAACGAAGCGAAAATCGTCCGTTTTATTTAGTAATCGTCATTTGGCCTCAAAAGTCAGGAAAGTTGGGTCAGATGTAACTTGTCACGGGTTGCCATCACAGGTACATCTTGAGAAACTCGATTTCTCACATTCTCCGAGCGACGAATTTACTTTCCGCAAATATACGGAAGATTGATAAAGCGGTAATGATGCACGATCTAATTCGCTTTAGCAGCGTGCATTCATCTTAAAATAGACTACAATGCCACCGAAAACTGCGCGCACGACAGCAGAACAAAATGGCGGATAAACAATCGTACGTGCGACACTCGGAAAAACATTGCGCAGCGCCCCAAATTAGACGAGTTCGACATCAAAACTTTCGATCTCCCCCGATAGTATTATAAGCGGCACAAAATGGCCGTGCGTAATTATTCACATATTATTACAGCGCAGGTAACTAATCACGAGACTATAATTTAAAGATATCGCTGCATGTGTGCATATATAATTCAACATTTAATTATTTCAATTGCTTGCACCATTTTGCGTAATGGCTGTTATACATGAAAGTCTGAAACTCTATGAAGCCTAAACCAAACTAGAGATTGAATTTGACGAATCAAAGCAAAGTTTACTAATCTTATAGCGTTTTCTCTTGGCTGCACCAGTGCAACACTCAGCTAAACTTTTGCACTAGTTCATCTTTCTTCCTTTTCTCTCCAGGAGAAGGGAAAAGGAAAAAAGATGAACTGGTGCAATCCACCCTACACTGGTGCAGCCAAGAGAAAACGCTATTATTGGCTGCGTTCAGCAGAGAAAGCAGCTTTGCAACTGTTGTAAAATTCTTTAATATGATTGGTCTTGCCCTTACTTCCTTATTACATCTAAATGTATAATCCAATCATAATAGTTCCAAAACTGCTTTTTCTGCTAAACGCAGCTATTGGTTTTCTTTCTTCTGATAGGTTAATTTCAATGTCTAACTAGGCTTTCCATTTGATGATACAAATCGACACAAGCGTCGTTCTATCTTTCTTAACATTCAGAGAGTGACAAAGATAGTCCTCAGATGAAAAGTACCCCGAAGCCCTGTGTCTACGGTGCTAGAATTCGGTCCGAGAGATGTGTAGCCAATCAACATGTAGTTTTTACGGAAAAAGTTGATTGGTTACACATTCCTCAACCCGAGAATTCGAACAGAATTCTAGCATCGTTGACACAGCACTTATGTAGAATTCACACTGCGTCCAACATACGACGTCTGATATCCAATAGGAGAGCTTGTTTTCTAGATATATAGCTAACAATATTTTGTTGCATTTAGAAAACAAGCTCTGCTATTGGATATCGTACCGTCGTATGTACGTCGGATGTTGTATGCAGTGTGAATCCTACATTAAGCCCATTCTACATTGGTCGTATCGTAATATCGTAAGTGTCGTGAGACGTCTAATTGACACATCGGATTGGCTGTTGCAACAAATTTGTGACCTGCGACGTCTACGATACGACCAATGTAGAATGGGCTTTAGGCCTATTGCTGGATTCACACTGCATCCAATGTGCGTCGTACGACGACTTCGCAACCAATCAGAAAAATCGTATCGTCGATGCGAAGCAAAATCCTGTTTTCTAATTGGTTGCAGATTCGTCGTATGTACATACGACGAAAATCGGATGCAGTGTGAATCCAGCATATCGCACATGAAATGCATAACTGTGCATAAGCATAACATAAGGCCGCTGGACCAATGAGCATCTTATGTTAATCAATATGGCGTCTTTATGCTGGATGCTCATTGGTCCAGCGGCCTTATGTTATGCTTATGCACGGTCACAGTATATGCATTTCATGTGCGATAGGCCTTAGGCGAGAAACACACTTTTTTGCATAACGCATAAAACATGTGCATAAGGAATTTCATTGGCCCATTTTCTTATGCACGAGTCAATGGACCAATCAAATTCTTTATGCACATGCTTTATGCGTTATGCAAAAGTGTGTGCTGCGCCCTTAAGTCTTAGTGCGTTAAGTTTTTTTGTGTGCCAGGGCCCTTAGTCCGGATCTACAATAGAAGTTTTAAGCCTTAAGTCGTAAGAATTGACCAATTACAGTCAAATACAAAAAGAATAATCGACTGTAATTAGTCCATTTCTTATCGCATAAGGCTTAAAAATCCATTGTAGATCCGGGCTAAAAGCCGCAGCACATAAGCTGGGAGCACAGACTTTTGCATAACGCATAAAGCATGTGCATAATGAATTTCATTGGTCCATTTTCTTATGCATGAGTCAATGGACCAATCAAATTCTTTATGTAAATGGTTTATGCGTTATGCAAAAGTCTGTGCTCCTCGCTTTAGAGCCCCAACACACACTTTTGCATAATGCATAAAGCATGTGCATAAGGAATTTCATTGGCCCATTTTCTTATGCATGAATCAATGGACCAATCAAATTCTTTATGTATATGGTTTATGCGTTATGCAAAAGTGTGTGTTGGGGCTCTTACTCTTGCATAATGCATAGTGCATAAGAGAATCAACCAATCAGAAACCTTCCTTTCCTCCCATTTCACGGAAAAGAAAACTTTTGATATTCATAAATGATATATATCTGCTTCATCGCCGTATATTGCAATCAATCGCAGCGATTAACATATTTATTATTTAACTGAAATAAAAATTAAAAATACAATAATAATGTAATTAAAAGATATGTAGTATGCACAAATAGAAATTTTATTGTTATTTAACTTAAAAATCACTAAACAAATTTTACATACATTTATCTAGAAATTCTTATCAAATTATATAGTTCCTATTTATTTTTCCAAAATATCTTTAAGCTCATTTTTTATTAATAAAAAACACTCTTCCGTAATATCGCGAAGAAGATTAATTATATCATCTTCTGTTACATTATTATATACAGTTTCATCTAAAATATATATGTATAAAACGTAATTATATTCTGAAAAAAAATTGTGTATTAAACATAGATTCTTACCATTAAGTGTAAAATGTCCGAAGAATTCGCAAACTGCAGGTAGAATTGCAGTTACATCTTTTATACCAGTGAATGATTTTCGAACCCAAATATAAATACGTACATCATTATATAATTTATCGTTAGATTTTAATTTCGCTCTTGTAATATATACATTATGTGCCATTTGACGCAATTGTAAATAGTTCACTATAAAGAATGCACGAGATGCAAAATCTTTAATATTTTTGAAATCAGATAACTTGAGACAGAATCCTTTTGCTGGATACTCCAACAACAAGTATATACCATATATATAACTACTAACATCCTAAGACAAAATAAATATTGATACTTTGCAAATATTTAAAGATCTTTCTCTCTCTCTCATTATTGAATATAATATTACTTACGATATATTCAAGAAGCATCTCATATTTCAGGTAGTATAAATGCCAGTGTAAATGATTAACAGAAGCAAGAGCGCACAAACTATTGAAAAAAGCTCTTAAAGACCTAAAGCAAAAAAAATAATATATCATTTTATAAGTTATTTTATTTTAAGTAAATGTTTCCAACATAACAGTGATTACCATGAATTACTTAACAGACATAATTCTATTACTTTACAAAGACTATACTCTGTCATAACTTGTGGTAAGCATTTTAGACGTTCTGCAAGAAATAAACAATGACTCTGTTCCAAAGGACTGGCATTAATTGCAATTATGTCATTTGAGTCGCCATTTCCTATATGAAATAATATTTCTTGCTGTGTTAGTTTAGTAAAATTAAATCGTGTAGAGCTAAAAGATTGCGCCATAGACGTGACTGATTCTGGAGCACGTCTATACTGAGATCTCTCTGGATTTAACTGAAATTGTTATTGCATTATACGTTAGATACAAAAAACATACATTCTTAAGATACAAAACATACATAACAATGAATATACCTGTACTAAAAATCTGTATTTTCCCTTTAATATTTTTTGATCTTTTATGTTTAAAATATATCGGAATGCTTTAATTTCTTCAGCTTGTTTCCATGTTCGTCGCAAAATATTATCAAATGAGGACTCATTTTCCTCACATGATTTAACGATAAAATTAAAATCTTTTGTATCATAAACAAATGTGGTAATCTGTTTGTTTGAAAACATACTGCATAACTAGGTATAGGTATATAATTTATATACTATACCAAACATGCTAATTATATAAAAGTTGATTGGAGCTGAGAGGGGTCTTCTGAATAATTACTGAGCAAACTGTAAAAATAAATACATAAATATAAATATATAAAAATAATTATAGATGCACATGATCTAAAATTTTTTATTATAGCATGGACATGCATTGTACAGCAACAGTGACATATTATTCACAAGCACACATCACCATATACCAGTGAATTCTGGAAAACACTCAATCGCGACGGTTGCGTTTTGGTTCGGAGGCTATCAAATTGTATATTTTTAAAAGTGTTGCAATTTTGATTGTGCATAGCCTTTCCTTTTTGATTGTTCCGCGAATTTGGACGACTCGTTCGTTCGTTCTGACGCGCGTTATTTTATTACGGCGTGTCGTAGATGTAAGCGCCCAGGTGGAATTCGAGCGGGCTACGCCACTTTCACCTTTTTTGCATCATTCTTTATATTTGTATACGATTAAGACGTGATCTGGCCATATTGTCCATATTGCTTGCCTCCGCTTACTCCAGGAAGGCAAGAGCCATCAATTAGGAAGAAGAAGAAGAATGTATACCAACAGTACAGAAAAGTAGATGTGTGCTTACGTAGTTTCCATCCACTGTCTCAGTTGGCGTTAGTGTTCGAGAGATCTTGACATTACAAGAAAAGACCGACATGGCCAGTTTCAAATCCTTCGAAGTTCTTCGTTAATACTCTTGGTTATTCCTTTTATCGTCTTCAAAAAACAAAAATTGCTCAGATGAGACGTCTCTCTTGGAGTACGTTCGGATTCTCTACCGGGGTTGTTCTCCTTCATCTAAAGTTATCTGAATTCCCTCAGACTCGGTTCCAAAGTAACAAAACGACACAATCAAGCACGCACCTCTAGCTATGGAGATATGTCCTTCACAGCACAGAATTGGATAATTCGATTGATTAATAATCAAATTATTCTTAAATTAATGTTACGTTGAACATATGTAAATAACTCCTTAAATTTCAAATATAAAAAAAAAAAAACATGTCTTCAAGGCTATAGGATTTCGATTGATTAATTTATTTATCGAGTGTATTTTATTTTCAAGCTCATACACTGTAAGCATCAGTTCATCCATTAAATTAAACCATAACCTTTTTTGAGCATAATTTAAATAAGATTTGAAAGATAACAAAATTACCAAAATCCTGATAATTGAAAATAATCGCTAAATAATTATTATCCGTAAGATTCGTCAGCTTTCGAAACTCAAATTAGATTTAATTCGATTTGTTAAAATCCTAATCAAGTATCAGATGTACAAAAATTTTAGATATTCGTATATGGATACCATAGTTGAACGTAACAGATATTTAAATAATATAATATTATATATTTATATATTATATTATAGTTATATTATATATTATATTATAATTATATAAATATATAATATAATATCTAATATTTATATATTAGATATTATATTATATATTTATATAATTATGTGAACACATATAAGAGAATATTTACAATAAAACTTTGATATTTAAGAAATGGTTACTCTCCAATTTAATATTTAAATTGATACTTAAATTGACATAATATTTAAATTGATATTTAAATTGACATATGAAAATATAAGAAAATTTGGAGGATTTAGAAGAAAATATTTAAATATATTAACAGAAATTGTATGAACACATTACACTAATACCTCTAAATTTTAACTCTCTTTATTCTAGCCATTCTTTAATATATTGACATTTGATAGGTGTAACAAATCCTTTGTCATGACATTCTCTTCTCACCTGAAAAACGAAAAGTAATATATTATATTAAATATATATTTTTGTAAGTTATAAAAAACTGAAATTAATACTAGCTCAAAGCAGAAAATGTGTTCATGCAAGATAATATAATTAGATTTTCAAATTACTCTGGAATATGCTGGTTTTTGTCTATATTAAGCCCATTCTACAATTGCGTAAGCATAGTTGTAAGTGGCTGTAGTTGTAAGAATTGACTAATCACAGGTCGAACTTTTCTTCGTATTTAACTGTGATTGGTTAATTTGTACAACCATTTATAACTACGCTTACACAATTGTAGAATGGGCTTTAAAGCTCTCCTTAGTTAAAAACAAATTCAATGTTTAATCAAAAACCATTTTTAAAAATGCATAAAAAAGTAATTATACTATGAATATTTTTTTTAGATTTGTATTAGTCTTTATATTTTTAATAGTTTATAGTAGAGCTAATTATTGACTATTTAATTGATTTTATTAATTTTAATGATAATTTTTATAATAAACGTATTGTAAATGTATTTGTAATGTCTTACTGGGCACAAACCGCAAGGGATTTTAACTAATTCAGCTGAACTCAGCACAGGTTGAATTGCTCTGTATAAATTGTTTCCATCACTTGTGGATGTACGTTCAATCTTACCATCATAAATTAATGTATTTAAAATTACTTCTATATTAGTTACAGTTAATTTCACCTATAAAAATATTGATTACGTTTAGTAATAAGTTTTAAATAGTATACAAAAAAAAATATTTTAATGAGTAAAAAAAATACAACCTTACTTATTCCTAAATCCGAAATATATTTCAACACATCCTTAGATGAAGCATATGTCATATTTCTTGCAGCAATAGGTCCAGTGTTACAATTTTTTGCCTTTTCCCTTTTTTGCTCCAAAAATCTATAACATTGTTGATTCAATACATCAACAAATTCCGTTTCAAAATCTTGATCTTGATACCAGGCACCACCTGTTACAGACTCATCTGGTTCTAAGTTGTATAGCATATACACTTTTTTCTTACTGGCTGCTACAGGTTTAACAACTTTGACAACCTTGTTAGTTTCTAGGCTTTTCAAAATTTTTTCTAATGGTTTAATCATCAAATTAGATTTAATTTTTATATCTCGAATCCATATTCCCTTGTTCCCTGCTTCTTCAATAATTTTAAATACTATTTTTTCTTCATTGTCAACACATTTAGCAAATTTTATTGGATCTTTCAAGCGATAATATAATGAGTTTGCTTGTTGAAAAAGATCAAAGTATCCTTGAGTCAAAAGTTTATTTATAATATTAGCTCGTTGATCTGGTTTTAAATCAGGTGTTGAAGCAGCTAAATCTTTGTCTGAAATACCCTTAGGTTTTTCTCGTGCAAGAGCAATTATTCTGTAAAAAAAAAAAAGAAATAAGATATGTAAATAATGATAAAGTGATAAATTTAATAAAAAAATATAATGTATAAAATGTAATAAAATCTAATTGTTTTCCACTTTAATAGCTTACTTTCTTTTACATAAATTTTAAGATCTTATAATAAATACTAAAAATACAAGGTAACACAATAAATTTATGTTAGTCAAAGTTTAATGTCTCATTACAATGGTTCAACAATTTTAACAAAATAAATATATAGATACATAACATAAATATTTTTAATACTGATCTTCAATATTAATATGTGAATACCACTAATTAATTGAATGAGAGCATATAGCTAATATTAAAGTATTAAACTATGGTAAAAAATAAAAGGTTCGTTTTTTGTAATTATATCACAATTTTGATTTTTCATTTTTTCTTTTTTAACATAATATTATGTAATATATATCAAATGCAGGAAGAAAACATGATATAATGTGACTATAAAATAAGTTTCATTCATACTTTTGCTCAATTGATTCGAGCCCTTCGTATCTTGTCATTGTACTACTACTAGCATTTTGTTCTTCCATTATGAAATGATTGAAAATAATTTTGGTAAAGGTTTATTGGAGTATGGTCACCTCAAAAATCGATCAAATTATACTCATTCGACGCGTTTTTGCATAAAACAAAAGAATCTTATAGAAAAAAAGCGTCGCTCTGTCCTGCGAACCGAGATATTAATCGCGTTAAAGTTCACGACTATTCAGATTAGAGTCGTTAGAGAGGATATTAGAAATTAATTCTTGAAGTGAGTGGCCTTGAACGTACAGCGTCGAATGTCGATACGACCAGATCGCATATGGTCACCGTGTAATGGCGACGAGACGAGTCTCGTAAATGACGTGTCAAGTATCGAAAGTAAAGTGGGGGGGGGGGGGACCGCGGTAAATCAAAATAACGAAGGGCACGCGAAAAACGAGCCCAGAGTCAGGAGGAGTTTAAATTCTTAAGATTTGATAAAGGCAAGAAGCAAGCGACAAAGCTTGGGTGGTTTTTTAAGGAGAGGGAAAATGTCATTTAAAGATAAATTAGAGGAGCGCGCGCGGTTATTACAGAAAGTATAATTAGGTGATTAGCTTTGGTAGAAGTAATGGAACAGTGAAATATGATATGATTAATATTCTGGTTAGGGTCGCCACAAAGACGTGGCTTTGGAGGCCACGATATTTTTCCTGTGCAAGCTATAATTTTGAGATTATGGTGATTAGCACGTGTAAGCTGTTAATTAGTGCAATTCCTGCTCTTTTAAGAGAGAATTTGTCGAATCATGGCTTATTAATTTGAGAGCGATAAAAGTGATCATAATGTAAGCCTTTGTGAAGGAATTCCTGGTCAAGATAAGTATTGTATTGTTCTAATGCAGTACGATTGACCTCCTGGGTAAGGAATCTCCAGATCTATATAATCCCTCTGTAGAGGATATCTGTCATACCAATTCGATATGAGCACTGTGTACGTAATTTTTACTTTGGTGCGCATGAGCTGCGACGCACTGTGATTACACGCGTATGCAAGTTTTGTTAGCAGATAAAATATCTCTGTTATAGAATAAAATGTACACAAAGGTAATTGTCTAAAAACATAAAAAGTGACTGCTTTAAAAACATAAAAGTGATTTTTTGTATTTTTAAAACAGTGACTTTTTATGCACGTGTACTACACACAGTAGAAAACAAATAAACTTTTCAAATTTCATGTAAGATAGGAAAAAGTCATCGCTAACAATGGTCAATATTTTAATTGACGTACTTTTTCATTTTGTTTTTTAAATATAACCATACTTTTTGCAAAAAAAAAACGGAAGAAACTTTCCGATTGTCCTGATCCTTATATAATTTATTGGAAAAAAATAAGGGAATAATATAGGGCCCGTTATTATATTATATACGTTTAAATAAAAACACGTTTATACGTATAAATAGCATATTCGTATGCTATAATTTAAACATATAAACGTTTACCTTTAAGTAAACGTTTTTCTAAAAGCGAATATAAACGGATAAATGTTTTTACGTTCACACGTTTATTCGAAAAACGGAATAAAATTAGAGCCTTTTAATATATATAATAACGCAATAGCGCTAATATATATAATATGCCTTCCGAATGCAATCCTTGATTTACAATTAATGTGACCAGATATTCTTGGATATAAAGATGTTATCTATTATGTGCGGAGGAGGAAGACTGTATGGCTGTAAAAATAAATATAACAATAGTGATATATATATATAATCAGGGAATGGAAAGTTACTTTTTAAAAGTAACTAGTTACAGTTACTCGTTACCGAGTAAAAAATGTAACTAGTTACAGTTACAGTTATCGCTTTTTAAAAGTAACTCGTTACAGTTACCGTTACTTGAAAAATAACTTTTCGTTACTTTTCCGTTACTTTTTTAAAATCAATTTAAAAATGTACTTTTGCATTTTTTTTTTATATGTAATACTGACAAATATATAGTTTTATTTAAAAAAAAAACAATGTAGAATGGCTCAAATAATAAATTAAATAAAAGTAAAATGAGAAGGGTTACGAGCCAAAAATGAAACAGTTTATTTCTGATAAGAACGACGATGACAATGTAATTAAATGTATAAATATATATTAGAACAAAACAAAGATAAAAACAAACGACGTTTCGACACTTATTGTCATCGTCTTTTAAACTGTTTCGCTTTTGGGTTCATAGCCCTTCTCATTTTACTATTATTTAATTTATTTTTTAATTTTTTTTAAACACAATTTTGTAATTCTAAAACCTGTAAAATATGCAGCAAACTGAAATATTTGTATGTCCTATGTATTACATAGAAGATAGAAGTGTAAAATAATTACTGAATCATAACGGCCGAATGTCTATAAGGGCTTTCAAGTCTTATTGATAAGCGTTATAAATAACATGTATCCAATCGAACCGTGTTCAATCGTGTGCAAAGTAACGACAAAAGTAACTGTAAATTTCGTTACAGTTACCCAAAAAATGTAACTCGTTACCGTTACAGTTACCAAAAAAAGAAAGTAACGCAGTTACCAGTAAAGTTACCAAAAAAGTAACTTGTAATTGTAACTTCGTTACAAGTAACGAGTTACTTCCATTCCCTGTATATAATATATAATTATTAAATCATTTTTTAAATTTAAAATTTATAGATATGTATAATGACAACTGAATGAAATCTATTTACTGAATATTGTAATCTAAAATTATCAATATTAATTGAAAAATGTTTATATAGAGAAAAGTATTTTTTTATTATAACATTTTGTAATTAATTACAAAGTTTAAAAGTTTTATTCCTGTTGTTTGTGACTCATAATGCTAATATATTAAAGATGACTAAGTCAGAAATTAACTATGCTAAATGCTTATCATAGTTTTCTACTTATTTGACTAGCATTGTGGGCTGTGTCTGTAGCCTGCTGTGTTCTGACGTACACTGCCAGTACTGAATCTATAATAACACGTAACAAAAATTATAGATCTTTAGTCCTGACAATATACCGAAAAATATCATTACTTACAGTTTTAGTGTATCTTTTGCCATTCGAGTAATAACTTGCACATTGCAGGTAAGAAAATGATGTCAATTTTAATACTTTTTTTATTAATCAATACAGTATATCTAAATGTTAATTTAGAATAGATAAGTTATCAGAAAAGAATGACATATGTGCCGTTATAAAGATTATATATATATGTATGTTTATATGAAATATAAAAAGTTTATTAAACGATTTATAATATTTGTTTAAAAATTTAGAATAAAGATTTAATTTTATATATCATGAAAAACGTGTATAAAGAATTAAAAAATATACATAAAATATATATTATACACACATAAAATATACATTATTAAGATGCACATATATCAAAATATTAACTTTTATATGCAAATATATAAAGTCGAGTAAATATATAATTCTATCGTAAAATTTAATGTAATGTATAGATTATCTAAACTAAATTTATAAAATCTATTTTATGATATCTTACGATTTTTCTTTCAATTTTATAAACTTTATTTGTCACTAGTTCAATAATTCACGAATTACATTAAAATATTTATTTAAAAATTGTATTATGCTATATAAGAAATTTATATTATAAATACAAACATTGTAACTGATTGAAAAACTATATTTTTAATAATTGTAGAAGTAATTTACTTTAATGATAATTACCTTCAAGATTATAATTTTTATCATTAAATATTAATTTAATAAAGTTTTTATAAAGTTTAATATTAATTATCATTTTTATTTAGCAGAAGGAGAACGAATTATTAATTGATATGAAATTAATAATTGAAAAATTATATTTTAATGGCGTCATTACGTACATTATTCTTATATTTCACAGATACCTTATTGCATCTCACAGATAGATTACAATTATTATTTTTAAGAAACTATAATAGATCTAATTTATTTATTAGAAATATTCATTCACAGATTCTATTGCAAAATGAAATTCAGCTGCATAATATTTATTTGTCCATTGGTCATAGTATCGGTTATAACAACGCTAGAAGTTGTAAGTAGTTATAGAGGAGACCGGAGCTGGTTGTCACAGACGTCATAGTTTTTGATTAGTGATTTTTAGAAAAAAGTGAATACCTGATTTTGAAATATTATACCTACACAAATAATAGAATCTTATTTTACGACCGTACATTGTTAAACAATAACAAGAAAGAAGGAATTATACCTACACGTTATAATGTATCTACATCCTTTTATAGGTATTAGAAAAAAATGTACCCTTGAATTTTTTATATTATACTAATAAGTTATTTAATTTTAAATGAAGCTACGAAAATGTGACAATTAGCCCTGTGTTCCGAGTTGATTGTCACAAGTTCTAGGATTGACAGTAGCATATTTATTATAGACATAAAAATTATTATACAATTTTTATTTTCATTTTAATTCTATATTTTGAGAAATAATATTAATTATAATATTAATATAAATAAAATAGTTATTTTAATTATAAAATTTTTATACTGTAGTTTTTATATGAAAAATGAAAAAACATATATATTATATTTATGTGAAATATGTATAATATGAGGGTATTTGTAAGAATATATTGTCTAAACATGTGTCGAACTAAAGATTCTAAAATGGTCGCCAAACCCCGTCTCATTTTGGTTAATCTACCCCACATAGCCATTTTTAATAAAAGAATTAATTAATTGTAGAAACATTTACCTAAGACATGTCATTGCCTGAATATTTATCTAAGACAATGTCATTGCCTGAATATTCATTGCATGAATACAAAAGGCTATTGTGACTAATAATACCACAGACTTTTCAGACAACAAAATAGATGGTAAGGAAAATTTATTCAACCAACTTCATTTTTTTAAAAGTCACTATAAATAATATATGCAATGTTTTTGATGCAAACCATTTTACACAACAAATTAATATTACATCACCAATTAACAGTCAAAAAAAGAGATTTTTCTACTATGTACTAATTGAGTTACAAGCATTTTGACAATCTACCTTGTATGACAACCAGCCCCGGTACTCTCCTACTATTCTCTAAAATATTTAAGTAGAATTTAAAACTCTTAAGTGAAATCGCACTCTTAAAAATTAACAATTGAGCTCTTTCAACACTGACAATTCTACTCTTTAGAATAAGTTTCTACTCCAAATATTAATATATAAAATACTATTTTATAAACTGTTAAATCTTATCACAATCTATGAGACTTTTATTTTACAATATGTAAAACTTTCAAGATAGGAGCAATTGTTATATCTAATTAGCAATATTATCTATAATTAACAGTATTATCTCCATGATTAGCAATATTATCTCAAGCCTTGAAATTTTTAATATTGCACGGTTATATACATACATGGATTGGAATAAAGGAACTCGAAGTGTGTTATTACTTTTTACTTGTATTACATCTATTAATATTTAAAAAACATTGGCAATTATATCATTCGATAGAGCAAAGTTTCAGCTTTAAGAATCTATTTTTAAAAATTGCAGTACGATTTTTTGCTCATAATTACACTTTTAATGTAATTAAAATGTAATTAAATGTAAAAGTCAAAATGCTCCTTTTAATCTGCAATAATTTTTAATAATAAAAAATATTAGTAGCATTTTTTAAAAACGATTTTATAGAGAAAGCTTTAAGCTTTTATGTAACAAAGTAAAAAATTTTCGTAAATTCTTTTTGAGCAAGTGACAGATCCAAAATAAAAAGAAAATTTTCTATTTTGTCTAGCTCGTAATTTTCTTGTAGTAAAAGTAATCTCAAGTAAAAATTACGAAATTCACAGAAATTCAAAAGACAATAGTAAGATAGGCTTTTCGAAAGTAGAGATTTTAAAACTTTTGTACCAATCCAATATTTTTATCTCATTCCTCTTAAGGCTCTTGAGTAGTCGCTAATGGACATATTTATAGATATATTATAATAAAAAGCGAAAAATGAAACATTAAAATTTCTTGCAAGCCATTTATATAAATAAACATTTAATTGCGTAAAACCGACATCAATAATATTTATAAGAAATGTTGTAATTTTATGTAAAAATCCGTTAATCTTTCTCAGAATCGTAATACCCTAAAATTGTGCAATCCAGACGATTGGGTTATAACAAATATAACGCTTAAATGGGAGAACATGAACAAAAGTATTTCATTTGACACTTATTTCAAAGAGGTACAAACTTGTTAATAACTGCATTTACATCAAAACAAAATACAATTACATATACATTCTATATATAACTCGATCCGTATATAAAACGCTTTTTATTAAACATTTTATCGTAAAATATATCATTTTTTTCGATTACAAAATCTTTTTTAGCTAAATGGCACAATCTACAGGATACATATTGAGATAAGTTGTGACGATACAACTTATACTAATTGTACTACTGAACCGATAGTAAATATTGACAATATCGACTGTAATTCTGAAAATCTCTCGCCCCCGGATATGGAAGTTTGTAAATTTGCAAATGTAATTATGTTTTTATAATTATTAAATAATTACAATACACGTACACACGTATATATATGAATAATTCGAGAACGATCCCACGTAGCACAGTAGCGCTTAAAAAGCGCTAAAAAAGAGCGTATGCAGGTGCATTACTTTAGCAGATTTTTAGCGCTTTAAAAGCTCTTTCAAAATCCACTATGAAGAGCGCATTATAAGCGTATATAATCAGCGCAGAATAAATACAGTTTTATAGCATATTTACTGTATATAACAGTGTCTGCAATATGACTTGAAATTAGCCGAGTTATCCGCATGCAATATAAAAAAGTCCATAATTAACAGCTGTTTTGGGAGGTGCAATTTGAACAGCGCTTCGAAAGCGCTTTATACGCGCTGGTGTGCTACGTGGGATTGTGTATGTGTATTTTTTAGCATGAAATTTGAGTAGATATCTTTTCAATTTAATTTATATGCAGAATATTCATTTTTTATATACATAAAAAAATTGTCATAAATTTTAATTCAACAGTTGGAATAAAACCGTATAATTTAAAAAAAATAAATTTTGAATTTTAATATAAATGTTAATGTAAACTTGGAATAAAAAACACGCACAATACATAAAAATGCTATACAGGAAATATAAAATTATATATTTTTGTTTTAACTTATACTTTAAGAACATTCTAATTTGAAAGTCTAACAGTTTATTTTTATTCCACAGGAATTAGGAAACCTGGAAAAAGAGAAAGAGTTTTTCTCAAACCGATATGACTTATTTGGACAGACCATTTATAACATGATGTTTTGTATAGATCTAGATAACATTTATGCTACAGAATCCGAATATTTTTAAAATTCTCTTTTTCAAATGTATACCTTCTACTACAAATGTTTTAAAATATATATTTTTTATTATCTACAACATAATTTAATTAAAACAATATGTATAAAAAATACCTTGCGATGTAAGAATTAAAATTAGAAAATATATTTCTTCTCACATTCAGTTATTGATTGATGACATTAATTGCTATTGTATAGGTTTGTTAACGGTATAATTAAAATATAAATAATCAAACATTTAGATATATATTATTCGTGATCAGAATTTATGATTACTATAAAATGTATTCCTTTATTTAGGATCAATTATTTGATTGTTATTAGGAAACCTAATATAGAGAGAGGGAGGGGGGGAAGAATTACGCCTTCGTTTGATCTTCTATCAAAAATTGCTCGAGAGATGCTGTACGCTCTTTGTCAGGATCATACATTTCGAGAAACTCTGTCCAAATATTTGGTTTGTTTTCTTTCAAATAATTGATTATTTTTCTTGCTGTGTACTTCTGTTTTTCGCTGCATTTTTCACAAGATGTGACTATTATATCCGGGAGAATATCTATACAAAGAAATCAATAAATGTATTCATTTATCTTAATTTACGTATAAATATATATGTATAATATTTTGCAGATTATATTTGAATATCAACTATTGTTTTCTTATGTTACATTTTTTGTTTCATTAAAATTCCTTTTCTTCTTTTTTTCTTATAAAAAAATGCGGTACGTACAAAATCATTGTCATCAATATATTGAAATAAAACGCAAACTGCAATGTATATACTTACTTCTAAAACTGCGTCCATCGGCGGTGCAAGTACCTTTATCAAGAATGCAATTCACATATTGATTTAAAAGACGATCGCTATTAATAATCGCATCTACATCTATGTTATCATACGTATCCGAATAATATTCTATTCCCAAAACGAGTCCAGAAAACACGAGACTACACAATAGTACAAATGTGAATCTCATCTCTTATGCAATTTTTTCTGAACAGCTTATTCTATGTAAATTAGAACAAATTATTCTCAATTTCTTTTGTTAATTATTTCAAGAGATTTATTCATTAATTTATTTTTAATAGAGTACAAATAAAAATATAAAATAAACTCTTGTTTTTAATCTTGATACACACAAAACGATTCAACATTTTTTTGTCATACAAACACGAGAACGTTATAACGTAATATTATAATTTAGGAGCTTTACACTAAAGAAAGAACTTTTATAAAAATTTTATGTAAAAGATTTTCAAGACAGGTAAAAAAAATAGAAGCACACGTGTACGATGATACATATCCACACCTTCAAAGTTAATTTAACCGATGTAATTCGGCGGAATTAGATTTAACCCTTTAAAGCAAAGACACAATTTCTACAAAAATACGTTCAAGTTAACGTTATATGATGAAGCTTTGTATCAAAAAGAGAGAAGTCTTATCACCGAATTTTAAAAATATGCTCGTTATTGTTTTTGTATTTAACATAGGTGAATATTTTGTGAAACGTGAACTTTTACATATACAATTTGTTATAATCAAAACAATTAATGCTGATTTATGCATAATTTATAAACACGGAAATTGATTTAACCCTCAAGTCACGTAAAATTCTTTTGAAAGAAAATGTAACAATTAGTGATTTGTAAATACGTTCAGAATCATATAAAAAATAAACTTTTAACGCAAGATAATAAGATGTTCGTATGATATTGTATTTTTATATGATATTGATTTGCAATTTAATGATATCGTCATTTTAATAGGAATACACACAAACATGGATATTTATATTACACATAATAAACTGTGCACGATATTAAAATACTTTCTGTAATGTAATGTTAAATATAACCAAAATATTTCTATTGTGTTATGTAAAATACAAATTATATTTTTGATCTTAAAAATTATGTATTTTTAATCTTATAAAAAATACATATTTTTGAGTATTTCGGAGCCAATAACAAATTATTAATTATTAATTAATGTCTATTTTTTTATGTTTCTAGCACCTTCTTTTTCGTTATTAAATTGCAAACATGTATAAAAATTTCATAATCCAATAATTGTATATCTAATAATATTTAATTGCAATACAATAAGAAATTCTGTATCAAAATATATAACATAATATAACTCCAAAGAAAAAAATAGTAATATATTGTAAAAAGCTTAGTAAAAAAGAATTTTTTAACATAATGTATATTTATATATACATAATATATATTTATTTATATTTATGAAGATTGAGATTGTTGGTACATATAATGATAATTATATATTCTAATAAACAGAACTCTAAGATTCTTGTGCAATCCTTTAGAGACGTTTAAAGTTAAAAATTTATTTTTAATCATAGATTTATACATACAGCTTAGTACAACAAATACTTCATCCAATACAATTTTTTGAGATGTTTTCAATTCATCAATGAAGAACTACGCTTATTTCTTTTGTGAAAATTTTTTATTTGCTGAATATTACTTTCATAACTTTCTTAGTCTAAACTTCTATACAGTCTTCTGTAATAACATTAATTCATATGTAACAAGCAAATAAAATACTTTTGACAACTCGTGATATTACTGCCATAATTTATGGCGAATTCGATTGGATGCACTAGTGCGCACTGAGTGCACCTGAGTTCATTTGTTTTCCTTTTCTCTTCAGGAGAAGGGAAAAGGAAAAAAGATGAACTGGTGCAATCACCCTGCACTGGTGCATCCCAATCAAATTCGCCATTAGTAGTGTTGCGTTTCAAGTCTAAAAAATTCGGCGCACAATTAAAAATCTACATACATAGTATATAAATTCATAGACAATTATATAAAAGCACCCGAGATCCAACTTGACCGTTGTAGCATGTTCTCATCGATGGAAATCTAACGCATGTATTATACCTGTGTTAGATTTTACACATTATTTTGTTTTAGCAACTGACATCTTTGAAAGTTTAACACTATACAAAATATTTCACATTAATAATTCCTTATTTTACATCCTTAAATACTATAAATACAATATATAATTACATTTAAAAAAATTTTATCCAAATATTGACTTAAGGAACTCTGTTCTGTCTTCTACTTGCGTCTCTGCTTTTCGGTTCCTTATTTCAATATCAGTATCTCTTTGCTTAACTTCAGGCAATTCAAATGTCGTTTCTTCTCCTTGTTTATGTTTTTTATGCAACTTCTTACTTCTGTCTACATTATATGAGAAGAAGTTAATTTCTCTCTTAGCTTGTGCTATCTCTATTAGAAGTCTTTGTTTATGGACTGCACGTTCATATGCTAATCGTTCACTCAAATGAGTCCATTTAAATCTGTAAAAAAGAAATAAAATGTAATATTAATTATAATTAAATAAATAATTCATAAAAATAAGAAATACAATAAAATTTTACCTAGGCAAATACTTTATATTCCACATGACATCGTAGAATTTGCTTTTCTTTCTCGTAGATACTTGAGTATTGTTTAATGTCTCTGCTACAAATTTTGCTACTTTTTTACTTTCAAATTCTACCCAACCTTCAGTAAAATACTTGATTACCTTCTTGATTTTCTTTTTATGTTTCACTGACTGTGTCTCTATAAATGTTGACAATACTTTAAATTAAATGTTGTACATTTACAATCAACAATTTAAAATAATTGATCAATTTTCTGATTAATATATTTTTTAAGTTTTTAAACAATTTTTGTTTACATATAAGATTACACAAAAAACAAGTATTTTAAATGTTAGATTGTGTCATATTATGTTAATTATAATTGTGATTGTTAAATATAGTTTTTGGAGCAAAGTTATATTTACTTATAGATACTTTTCAGAATTCAGAGAATTATTTCATCCATTATTACTGAATATTACACAAAAATAAAGAATACATTCCATTTATGTCCAATTTCTTCACTTCCAAATAAGTTATCCAGGTAATAACTTTATCTAGGAGATAGATATCTCCTAGATAAAAGTGGTGTCTACAGATGGATAAATTAGACATTAGTGACACACAAGTATTGTTATCTTTGTTACTCATGAAATGCAACAAAAGATAGAACATTTGTGTTGACTTGTATCACTAATGGTCTGTTTTCTACCTCTTCTAGAATGTACTAGAACTTTATTGTTTTTGAAAAATATTGAACATTATCTATCTCTTTAAAGCCTGACCTACAATGTACTTTTTGTTTCTTGTTTTGTTATTTTTTAAGTCTATTATATAATGTGTTCTTTGTTTTTTGTTTCTGCACTGTCTGAACTAGTGCACACGGTGCAATAAGTTAAAATTCTACGTTTATACCATGCATTTAGGCCGCGGCCTATACAATAGATATCCTTGTTTATCCTGTATATTAAACAAAGACACTTATTGTATAGATCACAGACTAAGCGCACAGTGTAAACATAGCCAATGAAACAAATGTATATTTGTTTCACTTCAACTTATTACACTGTGTGTACTACTTCAGATAGTGCGAGAAACAAAAAACAGATTCCTTGTTTTTTCCAAAGATTGTCAATTTTTATTTTAAGTAACAGAAAACAAAAAACAGGATAAAAAGACTTTTTGATCAAGAAGGCAAGAGACAAACAGCAAGAAACAGGAAACAAAAAGCACATTGTAGAATAGTATCTTTACAACTTGTTTTTTTGCCTTTTATGCCCATTTCTGCCAATGTACATTAATTTCAATCTTGGTTCAATTTGTTCTTCATCTTTTTCTAGTTCTAAAAATTAGAAAAAGATGAACAGTAAATTAAACCGAGATTAAAGTTAATCTACATTGGTGAAAATGGGCATTAGCCTATTTTTCGTTTTCTATCGCCCGAAATAAGATATAACAAATTTTGGAAAAAACAAGAAACACATGGCAAGAAATACAATTGTTAATAAAATAATTATATAGAGAGAAAAAAACAAGAAACAAAGAGCACATCGTAGATCAGGCTTAAATTCTAAAAGTGTACAACCAGTCAACCATTAGTTCAGCCACAGAAAACAGACTTTGGAAGGCCCAAAATGATGAAATTGCAACCAAAAATTTCTAAAAACCACAACTCATAATACAATTAATAAAAAAATTTTTTTTAACCATCTTATGTGGAATTTACAATAGAAGTCATAGCAGTCGTAGGGCTTAAGTTGTAGAAAATTGATCAATTACAGTCGAATATGAGAATACTAGATTATGATTGATCAATTTTCTGACTTAAAATCCTACGCTACGATTTCCATTATAGATCTCGTATAAAGATTAGAATTAAATTTGAGATTCGACTATATAATTTACGATAAACGATATAAGAAAAATCGAAGACTAACCATTGTCAGCTAGCTGTAGATATACTCTGCCAACTTTCCCATAAGCAGAAAATATCTCTTGGATCATCGTGACATTCATGTATTTCGGAATTGTGGACAGATAGATTATTCCTCTTTTAATCTTTTTATCTTTTTTCTCGACAAATTTCTCTTCATTTTGTGTCGACGAAAAGGAATGAACTTCCATTTTAGAAAAAGGAGGCAAGGTCGTGCAAAATTTGCACTGCAAATTCCTATAAGAAAAATAGATCTTTACTACCACGCTATCTATTATGAGGTTATGACTCGACCATCATGATATTTTTCGATTCGACATCGAGAATCGATTCTTTTCCGCATTCAAGAATCGTTTTTTCGATCGATTCTGAATTTCGGAATGCAACCTTCGCCCCAAAACAGAGAAGCAAAACATTGGGCGCGTTCAGCGGACTCAACAGTGGAGTGAGCGCTCGCTATTATTGGTGTATTCTCCTAGATCTATGATTCTGATTGGATGATCTAAAAGAATATACTAATCAGCGAGCGCTCACTCAGCTGTTGAGTCCGATGAACGCGCCCATTGGTCGATTTCTCCTTAATCCACGACTACTAGTGCCTATTGTAGAATGAGCTTTACAGGTTTCATAATCCCAAGTAGTGGTAAATTTCTCGAAACGCATCGAAATAAAACGCACATAAATATAAGCATATAAGTATAATTTCATTGAAATTGAAGAAGGATCTCTGGATAAAAAAAATACACCGTTATACGTATACGTAACACACATATCTAATGTGAATTACGAGGAAACATAAATCAATGTAAGTGTAATATCAACGAAAAAAGAAATTGCTATATATGATGTCAAAATAAAATGGAAAAGTATTCAAGCACTCAATCATCACAAGAGTTGGTTGAAAAATGAAATGTGATCGCACAGTGTCTATTGCAAATATGTTATATATTATTATATAATGTATATATTTAATTAAAAAGGAATTTCTTTTTTGAAAGTCAATTTAATGCTTAAGCTAGAGTTATAATTGTATTCTCTTAAGATTTAATTTAATAATTTATAAGGGTTATTATATATATATATATATATTTGTGTGTGTGTTTTTATAATTTATATTGTAAATAGAAAGTAAATGTGTGGAAAAATACACATAACCATAATTATATATTTCTAAAATGTTTCAGAAAGCATGTTCTTATTTATACTTTATAATGGATAAGAATGAAATACAAGCGACGATCTTATTTTTTGCTAAAGCACGTGAATTAGTTGGCTGTAAGGAATGCAAGCTTTCAATACAAAAAAAATTATCATTTACTGATCTTTTTGACAAGATAGTCAACACCTATGAATTAGAAAGCATACGTAATCAATTAATACTAGCTGTAAACGACGAATTTGTCATTCCAAATAGCATTCTTGTATTATCAGAAAACGATAAAATTGCAGTGATTCCACCACTTAGTGGAGGTTTGTCCAATAAATGATTAATTAAATCATAAAAACGGTATATTTTTGTACATTGTTTCATATTTTTATATTATTTTATCTATAATACTTCTTGAACATTAAGTAGGATGATTACTTTTTTACCTTTACGTAAAACATAGTTTTATTAAGATATTTACAACATATTTTAGATCAATTAATAACTCAAAAGATCTACCATATGAAATAATAATTTTTTTTAAATTGTGCTTTATTATTTATACTTCAGGATAATGGAGACATTAAAGAATTTTGTCAAGCTGCAACAAGAGGAATTAAATATTGCAGAAATCATGGAGCTTGTGACATTTCCTAATTGTGGAGCAATATCTAATTTTATTGGAATTACTAGAGATAATTTTGAAAATAAAAAGGTAATGTACAGAAATTAATTAAAAATTTTTCTATGTATTTATCTAATAGATTATCCAAAACTTTTAATATGTAATATGTAAACACTGAATTTGTTTTAGAGTATACTATATATTTCTGTATATTTCATTCTTATTTAATTTTACATAGATCTAATGAAAATTTTATTTAACTGAGAACAGACTTTAATAATTTTTACTAAAAAAAAAAAGAATAAAAGAAAATGCTAAACAATTTATTTTATTTGAAATTTTTTTCATAAGATAGTTTTTCATTGATTTGCTGTTATTTTATCGTAAAAGATTACTTAGATTCATAATTTTATTAATTTATAATCTGTTGTTCTCATAAAGCAATCATAAAATAGAGTTTGAGTGTAAAAAAGAACAAGCATATATACATATGAATAAGTCAGTATAACATTTTTCTTTCTAGAACGTTGTTTTGTGCAATTATATAATTTTTAATAAAAAAAATACATAAGAGACAAAATGCAGCATTGCCTATTGTTTTGATAGAAGAAAAAAATCTCTTGTTTAATTTTATTCATGAAATGACTAGAAATCATTATTAAAAAATTGTTTTTGAAAATAGTTATAGATAAATGTTTATGATTAATGCTTTTTTTATTATATAATATTTTTGTAAATTTAAAGTCAATTATTTTGAAATTTTATGTAGGTAATTAAACTGGAATATGAAGCTTATGAATCAATGGCTTTAAAAGAGATGACTAATATCTGTAACAAAATTCGTTCACAATGGGATGTAGAAGGCATCGCTATATATCATCGTATTGGAGAAGTACCAATATCCAAAGCAAGCGTTGTAATTGCAGTTTCGTCTTCCCATAGAAAAGAATCATTAAGGGCAGTAGAATATGCTATTAATATGTTAAAAGCATCAGTACCTATTTGGAAAAAAGAAATATACGAAATCGGAGAACCACAATGGAAGCAAAATAAAGAGTGTAAATGGATGAATAGTAAATAACTTTTTTAATTATTAATTTTGAATATTTTCTATTGCATGTTTCCTTAAATATTAGCTATGTGTCTTTCTTAACATTTATATTTTAATTGTAAAGAATCTTTGTAATAGATATAATTGGAACATTTATTTACAATATTATTGATGTTACACCATTGCATGGCTACCTGTGTGTTGACTTATTTTATTTATTCTTATATTTTCCTTTCCAAAAAAAATCTATTTTTTCCTTGCTTGGATGTAGATTGTCATAAATTCTCGACATTTATTAAGTGGGTACTTATTTGTCTTATAAATCTTTTTTGATATTTTTTATTCTTAACACTTATATATAAAATTATTTTAAATTATAAGTTTAAAATCATTAAAAAATGCTACGTTTTGAAAAATAATCTACACGATATCTTTATTAAGAATATAAACATCAATCGAAAATACAGTAACTCCTATTTACTTTTTGTTTGTATTTAAAAAAATATATACAAAAAATACAATTAGGTGTAACTAAAATAAAAGGACTAACTTTAAAGGCGAGTTATTTCGGTAATAGTGGGTTTGTGCATGTATGTTTACATAAACTTTTGTTTAAGTTACTCTCCTTGCATAGCAGAATAACATAAAACCAAATAAAATGTATTTTTATTTAGTTAGTATAGTTAATTTACTGTATAGATTAGATATTAACTATTATAGATTAAAATTCGAAAATGTTGCTAAATCTACAGTTGTGAAAGTGGAAGAAGCTCAGATGGCTTCAGATATAAATGAAAAAGAATCAAATGAAGATGTCATCGATCCAAATCTTGTACAAATTCAAGCGAATTCAGAAGAATTAAATCGTAGAATAAAATCATTCATCTCAAGAAAACGCCAACATGTAAATACTGTGAATGTTCAAGAGTTTTGTCGCCACAGGTCAGTTTATTATTAAAATAAAAAAATTTACATGTGTGCTCATGTAAAATAATATAATTTTATTTTTATTGTAATTATAATATGTACACATAATATATGTACACATGATAGAAATTATTGTAACTAATTGCTATAAATAATATATCTACAGTGAAGAAAATGATAATAAAAATTCTTGTGCAAGAGTAGATGCCATTCTTATTCGACGAAAAGATTCCAGAAGTCATATAAAAGGTAATATTATAAATAGTATATAATTTAATATTTTATTGTGTTGTCTCGATATTGTATATTTATTGATTTATTATACCAGATTTTATATATTTTACATTGATAATTCATAGAATACATTTTGTTTCATAAACTCGCATTTTTCCCGAAAGAAGACGTAAATAATTTCTTGGGAATTATTTATATGATAAACAAACTTGTTGCTTCTGATGTCAAAGCTAAGATGTTTGATATAAATAATGTTAGATTTTAACTTTTTCGTAAATTTAAATTGTATCCAAATATAATAACACATTACTTGTATTGTTATTTGTTTATGTAATGTATAATTTTATGATAGAGGAATTATATATAATCAAGATTTGTAATTATGTCTATCATTTAACTTGCATTGAATTTTTAATTATAATATCTCAATATGCACATAAAGGCACTTACTTTTATTTGTTTTATTATATTTTTTTATATATTAAAAAATATTCAAATACGTTTAAATAATTAATTCTAATATGTATATATATATATATATTTGAAATTTTTTAGTTCACAGAGTATTAAACGAGTGGGGACCTCAAACTATCGATCAATCAATTTTACGCAAATCAATCACGAATAATACGAACTTTAATGTTTCGGGTTCTTTTCCTATATTGGATGACAGAATTTCTGATACAGAACGTATGATAGGAATTAATAAACCAGTACCTAAAGATATTTACGAAAGATTGAAAAATATTGAAGATAGAATATTATATATAGAAAGTATATCACCAGAATATAAGGATTTTTGGATGTAACAATTTAATTGCCTACTTTGATTCATAGCCGTATGTACTTCAATGCTACTATTTATGTACATCTAATAAAAATTTAACATTAATAAAAAAGAAAAAAACGCATTTTTTAATCAAATGTCATGCATGTGTTGAAAAACAAAAACAATGTACTTCATATATAAATATATTTTTAATTATATATATTTAAACTTGAATTTTTAATAATTTTATACATGGTTTGTGATGTATAATTTAAATTTTTTACATGGTAAGTGACAGAAGACATCAATTTAAAGAACATTTTGAAATTGTTGAGAAAATAATAAGAATTTTATTAGACATTTTGTATATTATAAGTAAATTATAATTAAATAAAGTTATTGTTTTCTTCTATTCATGTTATAAAAGTTATCCCTTGCTCATTTCCTATACTTTTTATTGGCTGTATTTAGTAGAAAAAGGCACCTGTTGTATAATAAAATTGTTTGATATGATTTAGTCTCGCCTTTAATTCCTCATTGAATATAAATTGTACAAATCAATTATGTACAAAAAAATGTGCCTGCTGAATACAACTAATGACTACAATTCTGACAATTTATCTCAAGCAATTCAATAGGATAAAATGCTTCATGTGCCGCTGGTTTCAATCATCAATTGAAATAAAAGTATAAAGCCTATTCTACAATGACTGTAAGCCACAAAAATTGACCAATCGTAATCGATTATTCTCCTTATATTCAATTACGATTAGTCAATTTTTATGGCTTACGGTCATTGCAGAATAGGCTCCTTATGGCCCGATTTTTCATTATCTGGTTAACTTGTGGTTAAGCTTAACCTGATGTTTTATCCAATGGGCTTCACCTATGGTGATGTCATGGATAAAGCTCATTGGGTGAAACATCAGGTTAAGCTTAACCACAAGTTAACCAGATAATGAAAAATCGGGCCTAAGTGTATTTTTCACATGCAGTGTTAACTCGCGTAGGCTAGAGTCCTAGTCTAGCGTAGGCGTAACTTGCGTCAGCCAATAAAATTGTCTCAATTAAAATAAGGCGTAATAACTGATACAATTTGATACGATTTGATTGGTTGATGCAAGTTACGTTGCATGTGAAAGCACCTTAATTCTTATGTTTGTCCACAATATTAGATTTAGATATCATTCCGAAAATTTTGGATAGAAAATATTAACAAATCATATTCGAACGATTCGGTCACATAACCAATGCGATTGATTAATTTTTCCTCCGTCGAAGAAATTTCTGGTAGCGTGCACACAAAAGCTTTAAAAGTATATTTTCAGGATCGTTTAAACCAGCCATTTCAATGATAAAAAAACTTACTTGATCAAAATTCGTGTTTGATTATTCGTCAATTTTCGTCACGTGGTCCTTTTTTGTAGCCTGTTTGAGGTTCGTGAAAATTCACTTTAGAATAGAAAACGCGCGCAATCTATACGTTCTACGTCTATGGAAACAGTGCTCGCTGCCATTCTGGCATTACGTCAATGGTGGAGGTCTCATTGGTTTGGGAGGAGTTGCTGTGACCGCCATTGTTACAACTCTTCGTCATATTACGGAGAAACGTAGTGAGAATCCGATTTATCCGCATTCCTCGTAGTGCGTGTCGAGATCGAGACGTTGTTTTCTAGGTGTTGACTTTCCAGCGTAGACCATAGACAGATTCATCAACCGACGCACTCTCTCCGTAGTATGTCCACGATGAATCCCGAATAGTGAGTAAACTTCCTTCTGCGCAGACATAAGTGTAACAAGTTTGCCACTTTGTACAAGTTATTAAACGATAATACGGGCGTTTCCGCGATGTGGAAACATCCACGTTATCGTTCCCGCGGGATCTCTGCTTGCTAAGCGAGGAAATGAAAAATACGATGTATCCTTTGATTTTCATCGTCTGACAGGTTTACCCTTCCCTCTCGTCGCTTTCCCCTACTACTTGAAACATGGCACTCTTGTATCATAGTCCGTATTTCAGTATTTTTTACTGTTAGATTTTCACTTTGCATTAGCCGACCTTGGCTGTTTCTTCGTAATAGTCTTGAGAACAGACATGTGTGAATTGTTAACAATTTGATATCCTTTTTTCGAATTTTATTAGAAATGTCACTTTACAAAAATAGTTTTTCAAAAAGAATTTACCTCTTTCACCAAAATTTTAAAGATCTTTACAAAATGGTATCTTTAATTTAAATGCCTTGTGCTTATATTGATTGTGATTTTAAGTTTTTCTTTAGATTAGAGACATCAAATCATTTCTTTCTGTTTGTAAGAATATTTAGAAATTATAATATGTGTTAAAATATTTTCTTGTTTCAGCGATTACCTATTTAAATTGCTTTTAATCGGTGATTCTGGTGTTGGAAAATCATGTCTCTTGTTGCGTTTTGCTGATGACACATATACAGAAAGTTATATCAGTACCATTGGTGTGGACTTTAAGATTCGAACTATTGATTTAGATGGAAAAACAATAAAACTACAAATCTGGGATACAGCGGGTCAAGAACGATTCAGAACAATTACAAGTTCTTATTATCGAGGTGCACATGGTATTATTGTTGTTTATGACTGCACAGATCAGGAAACTTTTAACAATGTAAAACAGTGGTTGGAAGAAATCGATCGTTATGCCTGTGATAACGTCAATAAGTTATTAGTCGGCAATAAATGTGATCTACATACCAAGAAAGTAGTAGACTATACAACGGCTAAGGTAAACGGCACATGTTTTTTATATTGCATAATTATTTAAATTTGTTACAGTTCTTATTGCATAGCTGCATTTTGTTATAAACAGGAATATGCCGATCAACTCGGAATACCGTTTTTGGAAACGTCAGCAAAGAATGCAATGAATGTAGAGCAAGCTTTTATGACGATGGCCGCTGAAATAAAACTTAGAGTGGGCCCACCCTCGAGCGGAGCAAGCGATCCAGCCAACAAGGTGAAAATAGAACATGGACGTCCAATCGAATCGTCTAAATCTGGATGCTGCTGAGAACTATAATCTTGCGTCTTGTTTAACCAAAGTAAGCAAAACGAAATGTATATGTATGTAATAGATTTAAACTCAAATGTGAATTATTAATTTTTAAGGAACAATCTTCTTTTACAGAACATCTAATGTGGTTGCAGTTTCCGGGTACTGTAAAATTACACTTATTACTGCAAATATAAGAGCGATACATGGAAGTTTTAGTTTACTCCAACAACAAACAGAAGGAAAAAAGAATCTAACACACTCATGGACCACCAACTCTTCCTCAGAGTTGTACGAAACTCTCGTCCGCCTGCCCTGAAATTTCGTTTTTGTAGTTATCTTTCCAAAGAAGAAAAGACGTGGTTAATTAACGCCATTTTCTAGTATAAAGTTCGACTTTAGATAAATTTGTCGAATTAGTATTGATAATATCGAGCGAGTGTAGATGTGCGTGTAATGGGAGGGACAACTCGGGTCTTGAGAAGTAAATTGATTAATACTGTGTATGGTGGTTATATTATGATAAGCACTTTAATTTTCTTTTTTAGCCTAATTGTAACATGTACAATAGAGTATGTGTTTGGCTGTATAGCCATTTCTATTCCTCTATACAATTATCCAGAAAGATTTCTCATGTTTTTTTTTTCTTATGTTTCGTTCTCTATTTTCTTTAGATGCGCAGAGAATTAGATCATTTTTTCCCTAGTGAATTTTCACAAGCAATGCGATACCCTTCCTTTCTTTCTCCGTAGCATATGAATATGTCTGTTTGTATACATATATATGTGTATATGTACACACACATACACATGGTATAGTGTAATTTATAATAAACAAAAAAAATATTTCATGCTAATTTGGAGCGCATACGTGGCATACGTTACATGTGTATACATATATAAGTATATATGTGTATATACATATGTGTATATATATATTTATATATATATGTATATATATATGTATATATATTATATATTTAAGAAATGTGCCGCTCACGTGCAGCGAAACAATGGAGTGGCGAAATCTTCGTTTGTGTTTTCTTAAATTTTATCATTGATCCTCATGCTTTTTTTTTTACATAGTTCAAATGCGATTCAAGAATCTACAAAAATAATCTGCGAACTAGCTCCGATCGAGCAGAACAGCGAGGATATTTTATACGAGTTAAGAGATATTACAGTTACATATAATCCAAATTGTAGCTTTGTATCGTGTGAGAGGGCTATCTGTGACGGGTATACGATATAATGGCATTCGAAAAGTTACAGGTATAGTAACTGTAATTGTAATAAAATACGAATGAATAAACAGCTATCTAAACGAAAAATCGCATTCTTCAAATTCTGTGGACATTCAGAGTAATTTCGTAATTAACACCCGTCAGGCACGCACGATATATGTTTATGTATGTGCGAGGGCATGTAAAACTAAAGCATACTCTTCTAGGTGTTCATTATCTCTCATACACATTGGCATTCTTGACAAATTAATCGTTGGCGATGCTCACATTTTAAAATCATTGTAAATTTGGTTTGTTGCGCGTTCTAAAATTTTATTTTAACTCTAAGTATCTTTTGTTCAACAGTCAGTGAACAAGAATAAAAAAAAATGATACTTGATAGAGTCGGACGCACAATCATGATTTAAAATTCCACCCAATAATGAATAATGAATGCGACCGTACTATTTCTGAAATCATACTTAAAATAGACTGCTTTGTTATTCATTGAAAGCTAAGAAGGATAAAACGATATTTGTGTTTCCTAAAAGGAAAACAGCTATAATTTTAAACTATGAGTCACTATGAACGATAAATACCGTTCTACAGTAGATTATAGATGGACGACTTGAGGCGGTTCGAAATTTGCAATTAATTATTTGTGTAGCTGCAAACAACGCGAGTGGATGAGTCTGTATCCATTATTTACTATTCATGTCAATTAATAGCGGACTGCGGAGAGTTTTTTTCGAATTTAAAGGACGCGAATAATCACGAATCGCACCACGTTGACATCTGGCGGTTGAACTTGTTTACTAAAACCCTGTGTCCATGGTTATGTGTGCCAGTTGTATATAGATCACATTTCTTGACGTTTCTCGCAATGAAAAACGAAACTAAATTAACAAATTAAAGATGCATATAACGTGCAATCAGTGGTGATCATTCTATTATTGCAGCTTCTGTGGGCTGTTCTCGACTGATCGAGTGTTATAATCTAACCTAATTTTACTTTCATGCTGCTCTGCAAGCATAAACTGTTTCAAAATGATGCAACAATATATGAAGGAATTGGAGCAGGTTTCGATTAATCCTTTTTTTCTTCCATTAAAAGATTTATTTTACAATTTATTTCGATATTACACGATTTTGTATTAGTCATTAAGTTTAATATATGAAATCATCCTTTATACAAGAAATAGTTGTTCCAATAAATTTACTTTTTTAAATAAATACAATAAATGTAATGCTATATAATTTATAAATTTTTGTGCAATATTGTGTTAAGCTAATATAAACAGATTGTAATTGTTTTATAGGATCCATTTGACCCTGAAGAATTTGTTGAAAGATTGGCTTGGAGAACTGTCAATGATAATACGAAAGATGGAGGAAAGACATTTTTTGATCCAGTTATCGTTCATGAGACTTTTTTGCAAGCAATTAAAGACTTACAAATACTACAGGAACGTCAACAAAAGAAATGCGATAAATTAGAGATTGCACTGAAAGAAGAAGAAGCTCGACATACACTTGAAATATCAGCATTGCTGGAGAGAAATCAACATTCTACCGAGTTATTTCGTCATTTAGATGGAAGAATAAATCTTGTGGCTACTAAAGTCTTGCATCTAGGAGATCAGTTGGAAAGTGTCAATACACCAAGGGCAAGAGCAGTTGAGGCTGAAAAATTAATGAAGCACTTTTCAGAATTTTTAAGTCCTGGTCCATTAACGGATTCAATTTTCACAGATAAATCCTTGGTAAAGATAATAAGATAATTAAATTATTTTCTACAACTATAAAGTTTTAAATTACTTGTGCAGAAACAGAAACTAAAACATAAAGAAAAAATATATTTTTCGTACTAGGGCGCGTAAAATGCGATTTTACACCCCGGAGAATTGTAAATAAATAACACCTAATTACTCCCCACTCAGCAAAACAATCCATGAACCTCATTCCCCACCTTCACAGCTCCCTAGTACGAAAAATTTTACTCTGGAGTAAGGTTTTCACACCCGCGTGTGTTCGACCGTACACTCGGGCTGGCTTCGCCAGCCCTCGTGCCGTCGAACACCCTCCGGGTATAAAAACCACTTTTACTCCCTAGTCACAAAAATAACTATTAAAAGAATATACTTTTATTTCTTTATAATTAATCAGACCAAAATTACTTATTATTAATTATTACACCAAAATTATACAATATTTCAAAATTTTAATAATTCAAGACATTGAAATTCAAATTCTCTAAAAAACTTTGTTTCTTTTTTTAATTGTGTGTTCAGCAGAAAAAGCAACTTTGCAACTGTTGTAAAATTCTTGAATATATGTTTGGCTTATACATTTAGATCTAATGAGAAAGTAAGAGCAAGACCAATCATATTAAAGAATTTTACAACAGTTGCAAAGCTGCTTTCTTTGTTGAACGCAGCTTGTGTTAATGTGTAGTAAATGAATATAAAATTTATATAAAAAATGGATATAAAATTTGATAAAATTTATTATTGATTAATCCTCAATCATCACACCTCTTTTCTTATAAAATTATCGCACTGAATCAATCAATTTTTGGGTTAATCAAATTTTAAACAATTGCTGTTTCAAAATTAACAATTTAATTGAATCTCGTAAAAATTCTGAAATAAAGTTTAAACATTGTAGAATATTAAGTCAAATACTGGAGATAAAGAACAATGAGGCAAGATTTAATATTATTAGTATGTATTAAAATATAACAATAAACATGGACATCATGTAAACAATAAACAAACGTTTTGAGCATAAAATTGTGTCATCTTCAATATTAAAAACATATATCCAGTGTTTGACTTAATTTTTATTATCGAGTATCATTATATTTATTTTATTGTAGAATATATTTTTATTACAATAAATTAACAATCAAATTGACATCATGTATAAAAATTTTTTTTTAAATATACTAAAATAACATGTTTCGTGGAAAAAATTATCTTTCCCATTTTTCAATTCTTGCTAAAAATTTATTATCATTGAAAATAATATCTTTGTCACACATGACAAGTCAATTTGACCCACTGTTAACTGCAAACGACTGCCAAACATGAACGATGAATAACATCCTTTTAGGTGCTCAGCGCCTTTGTAGAGAATATTTGAAATTAGTACTACATAATTGCCAGTAATTCCATTTTAGAGATATCTTTCTTCATAGTTGACCCTATATGTCAATTGAGGTAAAGTTTATTCAAGGTTTTTTTGTTACAGTTGAATGATGCTGCGGATGTGATACAAAAACTCTATCTCATAGCCCAGGAACTTCCCTCTGAAAAATTTGAACACGCCAAGAAGAAAATTGGTGTGAAATATGACGAAATAGAACGGAATTTGATCGAAGAATTTGTAAGAGCACACAACAGGGAAGATGCCCCACGTATGAGGGAATTGGCGAGCACTCTGGCAAATTTCAAGGGTTACTCCCAAGCTATAGATGCATTTATTGAGCAAAGCCAGATGGGTTCGTTCGGTGGAAAAGACGTCTTTCAAGACGTCATACCTATGTGTACAAAGTATCATAAACTTATGCAACAGGTGTTCTCTAATCCTGAGCAAGTGATGGCCAAGTTTGTTTTGAACATATACCATTTACGCCTTCAAAAATATGCGGTGGCTAAATTAGCTGACAAAAATGATTCCGAAAAGTATCTTAGAAATCTATACGATCTGTATACAAGGACGATTAAGTTATCCAACGATCTAAAGGTCTTCAATATGGGCGCTGATGAAACTTATCTTGCCAAACTTACTAGAAACATCTTTCAAAAATATTTAGATACTTACATTAGGTAAGTCCCCCCACAATTCAGAATAATACTATTAGAAATAATAGAGGTGGTCAATGATTATTATTATTTTAGTATCGAAATGAAGGCATTTCGAGAAAAGTCAGCAACGTTGCTTATAGAGTACTACGAATCCAAAAATCATCAGAAGAAACAATTACAAATGGGTGGCTTTCAAGAACTACGTAGAGACTTGCAGGCTGTATTAGGTGGAAGAACGAATATAAATATTGCTCAAATAGAAGATTACGGAGGCGAGACATTTTTATCGGAAGAACTAGCAATCGCGATACTACAAAGGAGCAAACTCGCGTTTCAACGATGTCAATTACTTTCGCAGTCTGTTGACGTACCTATAAATACACTGCAGATCTTGGAAATATTATTACAATATTTAATAAGCGAGCATGTAGACTACGCGTTAGAATTGGGCTTACAAAGCGTACCTATACCAGAGAGCAGAACTCAACCAGAAATTTATTTCTTTAACGTAATGCATCAGTGTAATGCCATTGTTCGACTTTTGGAGGAACGATTCAATGACAGTGTGTTGCCTCTTGTTATGTATGCAAGTTTTTTATTCATTATCTGATATGCTTTTTTTACATTAACAGTACAAGTTATAATTCTATGTTTATTTTTAGTTCGACACCCAAACACGCCGATTGTTTGCTGAAGAAAAAAGCAGTATTAGAGCAAATAGATGTCAAGTTAGATACCGGCTTAGAGAGAAGCATAAACGCTATTGTAGGTTGGGTAAAGGTATATTTACAAAGCGAACAAAAAAAGACTGATTTTAAGCCGGAAAGCGATGTGGATACAGTAAGTACTCCAGCCTGTTTAGTAGTGGTACAGTATGTGAGCGGTATGATACAGCTGATACGAAATACCTTGGACGGAAGGCATTTAGACACCGCTCTCAAGGAATTAGGAATTAGATTCCGCAAAATAATTTATGATCATTTACAACAATTCCAATTTAATTCCGCTGGTGCTATGTGTGCGATATGTGACATGAATGAATATCGCAAGTGCATTAAAGAGCTCAACGTTGAATTTGTTACGAATCTCTTTGATACTTTATACGCTTTGTGCAATTTGCTGGTGGTTAAACCGGAAAATCTGAAACAAGTTTGCACAGGAGAGCAGTTGGTATGTTGTACGTTATATTTAAGAAATATATTTTTAGAAATATATTTTATACATATATATTTTTTTATGATTACAGATGACGCTTGATCGTACCGTTCTACTTAATTTTATTCAATTAAGGACTGATTACAAAACACAGAAGTTAGCCAATTGTTTAAAAGGTATAACGACTTAATGACACACTCTGCTTAAATAAAAATCGAAAAATACTTCATACTCAGCCTACTTCTTCATGATCAATAATTGAACTAGCTACCAAATATATGAGAACAATCATTAAAGTAATATAGTCAAATTTATGTTTTTTAAATATAATTTTCGCCTTTAAGTTTGTTCATCTTGTTATTATATTTGCAAATATTATAGCGATTGCAGAAAATAGTACTCTTCAAAATAGATTTACTTTATTCGTTATTTTATTGATAAGACACAATAAATGAGTTGATTATGAATAATAAGACCATGTAAAAAATATATATAATTAAATTTCTGATTTTATCATGTATTCCACACTTTTTGATAAGATAACATTAAACAGTCTAATAATATAAAAAGCGAAGTCTAATAATATAAAAGAAAAACGAGGATGGAGAATTTGGCGTACAATTATATATTTTATTGTACGTCAGAGATATTAATTACAAGTCATTTTTTTTAAATGTATAGTATGTGTGTGAGATATTTCCAAAACATTCATTAATATGTCAAATTTTTTTTACAGATTGATAGATTTGAAATTTACGTTTACTTGTGCGCAAAAATTCGCATTTTTGTTTCTTACAATGTTCTGTTATTCATTTAAATTTTATATTATATAAATATAATTAATTTTCAGATATTTGCACGTTTACAGAAGAAAACATCTATAAAAGTCATTATATTAAACGTCTAATTAGAAAGCATTCAATGTCTTTTAAAATTAAAGAACTGCTAAAGTTTGACAGCTCACATACTGTCGATACACGCAGTCTAAACGCAATCGTTTATATTGTATTTCCATATTGTAGGAAATCGATTTCAGGCTTGATTAAATGACTTTTAATGAGTTATGAAAAAAGTGGAAAGAGACGCGCAATCCACTATATATCAGCGCATACGATAGTTGTTAGTCTCGTGTACTTGGCACAACTCTCCTTTAAAGTCCAACTCGATGCTGAAATCCAGATCTCTATAATTCCTGGCATTGGGCCTCATCGAAAATACGCCGTATATTTCTTCTCCCTTCTTCACTGTCATGTACTCATCGAAATAAAAGACGGTTTGCTTCCAATGTGTGTATGGCACTTCTGGTGCAGTACTGAAGCCAATACGTTTGTGGCACTTTGTGAATTCGATGTTGAAGAATGTAACTAAAGCTTGGACATAGTCATTCCTGCGGACTTGAAGAGTAAACGGCGAGGAGAACTCAAGATCGGCCTTCGTTACTGTATACAGATCAACTTCTTTAATTAGGCATGCATTTGTAACAACTTGTTTTGGATCAACAACATCCACTAGTGGTTCGCTGATGGCCACTTTCCTTATGCTGCTCATATTAAATCCATACACGTCATCCCACCAATTGATCTTCTCATCTTTGTACTGTCTATCTTCAATCCCACAAATGAATAAAGTCGCTTTATCAGGGAAGAGCATGCCATCTTCACGAAGCCACTTATCTCTGGCAAAGAGCACTGTATCCAACATTGATTCATAAAACAAACAGTAGCCCATCCATTCGGATATTATTATGTCAACCTTTTCTATTCCATCCGGTAATGAAACCTCTTCGACTTTCCCTTTAAGTATCGTTATAACATTGGACAAATTGTTTGCCTCTACAATTTTTTCTGCATATTCAACAATATTGGAGCATTCAATACCAATGACTTTAGCTGCACCAGCTTTAGCTGCAAACATGGAGAGAATACCTGTGCCACAGCCAATATCGAGAACTGTCTTTCCTTTAAAGAGATGTTTATTATGATACATGGAGTTTCGATAAGTCATAGTGCGTACTTCGTCCTTTAGCATTTCTTCATGTATTGCATAGTGAGCATAGGAATCAAAGTAGTAGTCCCTTGAGGTCATATCATCAACGGATACGGATTCTCTGCAGGATGGTACATTAACATTTTTATTCACAGTAGTAGGCTCTGCTGCTATGTCCATGGATTCCATTTCTGACGTCTGTAATATTTATAGAGAATGTATCAAAAACTGTTCAGTCATTCAAATAATCTATTTAAACTATATCATCCTTTAATTTATTGTGTGCTTATAAGTTTTAATTGTAAAATTGTAAATTCAAGTATTTTCGATGCAAGCAAAATTTCATTCTTAAAATTTTTTTGAAACAAAGGATACCTTTAGCAATATAATAAAGATGTTAAAAAGTAATTCTGAATTTTTCCATATTTTATCAAAATCTAAAACTGATTCTACGAGGAGTCTACAGTCAGAAGTCTTAGTCTTAATCAGTAAAATTGACCAATCATTGTTAGTTGTACAAGTTGGTTATTTGTTAATTTTACCAATAAAATTTACCTACCGACTTTGTAGAATCAGTATAAAATTAAAAAAAAAAACTTGAACTAGATAAAAAGAGTAAAATATGATTACAGATAGAGGGTTAAATTATTATATACAATATCTTCTAATCTCATTGAGGTTGTATTATAATAATGAAAAAAAAGTTTCATTTTATAATATCTATCCTCTTTTTAGCCTAAACTTCTTCAAGGTTTATCCTTTTCTTTTTTTTTAACATGAAAAGAAAAGAAGAAAAGGAACGAACCATGCAAGAGGTTTAGTTGAAAAACACAGATCTGTAGATACGCGTTCCGCACTACTTAATATCAAATAGATGTATCTAATTACGACAAATGCTTAGCTTCAATATGCAAAAAGAGTAAGTAGATAAATCACATAAGGGACTTATTGGTCGTTACACTCCATCGTATAAATGTATAAAGCACACACATACGCCTTACAAACTATTGTTTATACTACAGAAATGAATATGGTTTAAGTGGTAAATTTACAATGACGTTCATAGGTACGAGTAGCGTAGTGCCTATAGTCCAACGAACTCTCCCTCGCGCCGGCGATAATGCACGTGCCCGCCAAAACAAATGGCGTCCCTTTCAGAATCGAATGGCCAGTCGATATACTGCCAGCACGCGCTCTATTCCGCTATATTACTATATCGTTTCCGCTGTTCTATATAGAGTATATTCAATGTCTTTCGTGAACTGCGAATCTCCTTCGTCTCGATAATCGAGTATCCGCCGTCAGGGCTACTTTGACGTCTTTAATCACCGAATTACCCCAGAAAATGTATCGCGGTAGCGTGATTCTCAACTCGCGCCGACAGCCTCGCGGGTATCTCTACTGTGCGAGACGCGAGAGGACTATATTCATCGTGACGAAGCTAGGCCGTTTTGTACTCCAATAGTGCGCATCTATTGTTTACGGATTGCGTCGATACGTGGATAATAGCATGTTAGAGATCAAGTTTTCCGTTGCTCCATTACACAATCCACTCCATAAAACTCACCGAATTTTCCGTGGTACACACGCGATTCTGCTTGATTTCTACCGGCACTTCATCACTCGTCGCCATTTTGACTGCGTCACAGCAGACGACCGGATCATCTCCCAGGTCCGTCATTAGTTCACACTACCGTGGAGCGTTTTTTACCGATCGCGACGTACACAAAAACGAATATATATTATTTTTAATACTTTAATACAGCTTTGTTCTAAAAAGCCGATTTTGTTCTAAAAGCAAATGATGAAATAAATTATATAAACAAAATCATATTATGTAAATCTAAAAATATTTATAAATATCGTACAGAAAATTGACAACTTATTATTAGGAAAAATACACTAGATATTAATTAGCTCCATTTTGTAGAAATATTATTTTTATTTTTGAAATAATGAGTGTGTTTAGCAAACGCAAGAATTGAGTCAGCGTCTACTGCAGATGTTGATATATTCTTCTAGATTTATAATGGATCTAATGATCTACTCCAATCATAGACAATAATTACAGAATGTTTCCTCAAGATTGATCAATCGATGAATTAAAAATTCGCCCTAAATGTTTAAAAAAAATTGTCTTTTAATATCAATTTGAATTTCTCCTCATAATATATCTTATAATATTTTTACGAATGTTTCATATTTTGAATTTATAAAAATTTCTGAAAAAATATATTTAAACTTTTTCAGAGTTTATAAATATTTAAAATTCACGTCTTTAAAAAAATTTTTTTAAATACGTAAATTATGTTTCTGCTCTAATTCGCAATACTTGGAGTTTCCTCATTGAAATAACCAGTCAGAGGATCCTGTATTGAATTGGCCAATTGACAACGTTGAATTGGACAATTGGCTGCCACTCAAAAAAGTTGCTTAAAAATTAAATTGAATTAAAAAATAAAAGTTATTAAAAATCAGTAGTAAGTATAAAGGTGTAAAAATAAAGCTGACTTTTTATCAGTCCACTACAGCAGTCAAATGCTATTATTGATTACAAATTTTTCGCGTGAGGTAGACGCACTTTCAATCCGGTATATCCAATATATAAATGTATAAATTTTTTTGTTCTAATTAATTAAATTCGATATATTCATTCAGGATGAACGTAAATATATTTGAAATTGGTGAAGATATTCATAGGCAGCTAATATTTTTATTCGATATCGACAAGTTTGAGGATCTATCTCGAATCATTGACTTTGGCTCGACGTAAAGCACCCATCATTCCATTGGTACGAATGCTGTGATACGTCCCTGATAGGTCCCTGGTGTGAAGGCGCATATGCGACGTGCCGTTTCGGTATCGAATCTCTCCGAGTGGCGTGCATTTGCTCTTCGCGCAGACGGCGGTCGCGCGGACGAGGAAAAAAAAATCGCCCGTTACTTCCGGGTGTGGTTCGTCGTTTGGCTTCCGGTGATAGTCGCGTAGTACGGTGTTGCAGCGGTCGGAGTGTGGTCTCTCTACGCTGTACGGCGCATACGTTTGTTACGTGTGATTGCGTGCTCCGGACAGTTCTTACCTTTCGATGTGACGACGTTACGGAATCGTCGCGTCATGACTCAATGAGATCGGTCGAGTCGGCAGATAGGTAGCCTCATTAGACTGGGAAATGGGCTGAGAACTGAAACCCGTACGCGGAGTGTTACGGAAAGTGTCATAAACGGGTCAGCAGGCTGTATCGTAGTGTCAACTCTGTCTGCGTTCTATTTGCCTCACCATCAAAACAGTAAGAACATACTGAACTGAACATACAGGACAATGCAAGGTCTATGTGCATGCGTAATAATGTCCCGCTAGTGTTTCTGATCTGTTCGAGTTTAACATCCACATCGTGGAGGTCTAGAAGATGCTGGTAAGTAAACAGGCGGGAGGAAGAGAGAGAGAGAGAGAGAGAGAGAGTGTGTGTGTGTGTGTGTGTGTGTGTGTGTGTGTGTGTGTGTGTGTGTAGAGTGATGGCAGCAAAACAGCATCAATTACGGTAGCAACAACGGTAGCCGTGGAAGTTCGCGTTTTGTTCTGTATATGTCCGGATGGACTTCGCTTTGTCCTCTCATATTTTTTTTACAGAGTTCGTTATGATATATTGCTTTGACGCGTTCGCGCTTCTTTCGTCTCTCCCTCTCTCTTTCTCTCTCCCTCCCCCCCTCCCCCTTTTCTCCTACTTTTCTGCGCGCGCCCACGCTCATATGTATACCTATGTACGTATTCACCTTTACTCCATCCTTTCTCTTTTTATCTTTTGGAGATGAGCCCGGACGCGCGAATCTCCTGACGCAATGCTGTCGCATGTAGGAAATATGTCTCACGAGGTCTGGAAATTTCTGTTTTCTACCGTGGATCTGTGGGAAAATTTTTATGTGAACAATTCGTGTGTTTTATGTCGGTTTCGATTGATATAGATCAACGTTAATCTTGATTTAATTTAATTTTTATCTTTTTTTAATTATAAGAATTAGAAAAAAGTAAAGGATAACTTAAACAGAGATTGAAGTTAATACACATTGGCAGAAATAGATGTTAAATATGAATAGCACTTATGTGAGAGACAACTGTGGCTATCAAATTGTATGCATTTTGTTAGCATTGGCTTTCTTCTTTTTTTTGTTTGTTTTTGTTTTTCTTTTTTACTTATGTTGTACTGGTATTCTTCACTCCATCGCTGTCTATAATAAAAGCATACATGAGTTAATTAAACTTTTTTTAATTATCATTAGAACATATGGTATCCATATTGCTTTTATCTCTTATTATTTTTTAAATACCCAATTAATTTATGCAAGCAAACTTCAAATATGTTTAAAATAAACAAATACATGTTGATATTCAGTTATTTTGTATATTTATTTGAAAATATTTAATTTATTTCCCTCAGCTTTTACTTTTGCTCCATGTGAAGATATTGAATTATAATTTTATAAAAATATAAATAAAGTTGAAAACGTGGCTTGAAAATAAACACAAAATAATCAAAAGCATATGCCACTCACTGGTTCTTGTTAGTGAAAATTATATATTATCATAAAATTACATATAGTAGCATATGTTCTTGATTATATTTTGTGTATAATTTTATAAGTTTGTGTACTCGTTTTATTTCGAGTCAAGGCAATATTAAAGAGCATAGTTTAGGATTTGTGTGTGTAGTAGTATATACACCCTCTATATATATATATATATATATAGAGAGAGAGAGAGAGAGAGAGAGAGAGAGAGAGTTAGTTATAAAATATTGTATTTATCTGTATATATACTTTCCTCATTTTTGCTTAATTTACATGTAATATACAATTCATACATTATAATAATATTACGAACAATACGACATAAAAAGTAATAAATATTTTTATATATCTTTGATTACTTACCTATTAATTTATGAAAATTACTACTTGTCAAACTTATATTATATATGTGAAATCATTAATATAATATTTATATTAAATATCAATATATTATTAAATTTATTTTGTTACAGGGGGACGATCCACCATCCCTATCGGTGGGTACGGAAGTTAGCGCTAAATATAAGGGTGCTTTTTGTGAAGCAAAAATCCGTAAAGTGGTACGGTCGGTAAAATGCCGCGTAACTTATAAACCACAAGGTTTAGGGACTGCTACAGTTGCCGATGATCAAATAAGAGGAACTTTAAGAGTAGGTGCTTCCGTCGAAGTGAAACATGTGGATCGGAAAGAACTTGTGGAAGCTACGATTACAAAAATCCAAGACTGCAGTCAATATACTGTAGTCTTTGACGATGGAGACATTACGACGTTGAGAAGAACTGCGCTTTGCCTAAAAAGTGGACGACACTTTGCTGAAAGTGAAACGTTAGATCAACTTCCGTTGACTCATCCAGAACACTTTGGAAATCCTGTAATTGGAGGTAGAAGGGGCAGACGATCAAGGCAAGCACAGTAAGTGCTGTGGAGAAATTTGTTCCTAAAAGTTCTAATAATTGTCTAATACATAACATTTTTATGTAACAGAGATGAAAGCAGCGAAGATGAAGACAGTCCACCACGAGGTGCTCGTGACTCGGCTTCCAGTGGAGGTGCAAAGGAAGGAATGGAAACTGAACCAGAGATTGGTAGAGTGGTTTGCGTGGAACTCGGCGATAAAAAGAAGAAGGATAATTGGTTTCCAGGATTAGTGGTCGCACCTACTGCTCAAGATACTGTAAGAATACGAGTGAGAGATGATTATCTAGTGCGCTCGTTTAAAGATGCCAGATAGTAAGTGAAAGATCTTTATTATAAAATGTTGATTATACTGTCATATTTACACATATGCACATGTATTTTCTTTGTATGTGCTGTATGAAAATATATTAATGGCATATTTAACAGCAGTCTAATTGAAAATAATCTTATTAATTCAATAATAATATTAATAAAACGTGTATACTTTTGATTTAATAAAATTATTTGTTTTATTAATACACTGTTATTGAATTAGCTTAAATGTTATTAGATTACTATAAATATTTGTATATATTTTTTTAGCTATACTGTGCCCAAGAAGGAAGCCACAGAATTCACGAAAGAATTAGTTAATAAAGTCGAAAACAGTACTTTGAAGGTTGCAGTGGAGAAAGCGCTTCTATTTTTAGAGAAAAATGAATTACCACCTCATTGGGATAGAGATTCCCTGTTTGGCCATTCTGTTTCTAGTGGCAATAGCGATTACGATGGAGAACTTGATTCAGATGTAAGATTTTTGCTTATTTATGCTCTTCGCTTTCTTTTACCTTATGTGATAACTATAGAACGTAACATGAAATGGAATATGAATTTTCTAGAGTTCGGACGATGAACCGCGTGAAGAAAAAGATCATTTTGTGGCGCAATTGTATAAATTTATGGATGATCGCGGAACACCTATAAATGTTTGCCCAATGATTGGAAATGAGGACATTGACTTGTACCGGCTTTTCCGAGCAGTCTACAAACTGGGTGGCTATAATCGTGTTACGAATCAGAATCAATGGAAAGCTGTAACACGACGACTTGGTTTTTCAATGCAAAATTCGACGTCTTTGTACAATCTTGTGAAACAGGCTTATAAGAAGGTC